AAAAAAAAAAAAAAAAAAAAAAAAAAAAAAAAAAGAGTAAAGAGTGAAACTCTTTCCTAATCAGACTTCCTGTTGAGAAGTATCCACTGCTGATAGCTGCATCTGTGTCCTTCCAGACCTGTGTTCAACTTCCCAGACATTCAAATTACTTCCTTACTTCAGGATATGCTTTTCTAGGCTTTCCTCATCAGCCTAGGAAGCTCTAACCGGGACATCGGGATTGCAGCATTCCTTCCTCAGCACTGTACCAGATGATCAGGTACAAGCCGTGTCTGTAAAGGTTGCTGCTCCAAAATGCTCAGCGAGGTGGAGCAGATCCTGAGCGGTGGACAGCTCAGGGAACATCATGCTCAGGGCCTCAGTTTTTGCCTTACTTTACAGAAAGGGGAAGGCAGGGACAATGAGATTCAGGATGGATGGGTGGCTGCATTGTTACTGCTTCGTGAACACCCACTAGGGAACAATGACGTGTAAGACCTAGTCCTTGCCTTCTGGGAGCCTGATGTCTAATAGGAGGAGAGAAGGTATTTGTGGGAACAAAACTACTAGAAAGCCTATGACTGCATGATGGTGGGGGCTTGTGAAATACACGCCTAATCTCCTGGAAGGCTCGCTGCAGGACATCTCACTGGAAGTTGGGAAGTACTGGTCTGTAGAAGCCATACTGAGCTGGTGATGGCAAGGCTGAGCCTCTGGTTTACTGGGTCCTGGGTTGGGGGATCCCGCTCTACTAGTGCCCCTCAGCTGTACCATGACTCACCCCAGTCCCCAGCTCAGGCCCTAGGAGAGTCCCATAGGGAGCTCTAACCCCAGAGCTGATCAAAGATGGTGACACTCAGGATGTGGGCCTCTGCATTTTGTTCACTTAGTTACCTCTTTAGTATTTAGCACGTGTCTAGCCAGGATGGGCACTATAGGGGGTACAAATGATTGGAGGTGGGAGACAGATGTGAAGAGGAAACTGGCAACCTAAGGCAGTCCAGTTGCTTGACAGAGTTGATGAGAGGAGTCAGAGCTCACGATGTGATGTGCATGAGATGAACCTTCATGGGGAAGTCAGGGATTGAAGGATAAGTTGAATGGGGCAGAGGGGAAGGAGGAAGGAGGCAATGTGGAGCGAAGGTGAAACACACTGGGGAGACGGGAATTGGGATTGTAAGGCAGGAGACTGGCATAGCCAGAGGCCGTCCGTGGGCCAGCTGCCGGTGGTCTGGGCCCCACACAGCTGAAGCCCCTTTAGAACTCAGGAGCAGGGAATGCATAGCGCTTAAAGGAGGCGAGAGAGGATGAAATGGAAGTCTCGAGAAGGCAGGTTGAAGCCAGGTACCACCAAAAATGGAAACATCTCAACCCCCACAGGTAAAGGTGGTTATCTTATAATCAAGGATTTGGGCACTGGGCCCTGGGTATTGGATGTTGGCAGGGAGTAAAGGGGAAAAGTAGGAAACTTCATACCAGGCCCAAGATTAGCCAGCCTGTGCTTATAATTTCACAGCATTGGTCCATCTAGCTGTTACTATAAACACGTGAAATAGAGCAGCCTAAAGGCCCAAACCCTGTTTTGGTAGAGCATAGGACAGCTTGGGGGAGGCCATGGCTATCATTCCATCCCACACTGGCTCCTAGGGAGTCATTAGGGTAGCATATCTCTCTTTCTTTCTTTCTTTACTTTTCTTCTTTTTATTTAAAAGACAAGCTTTTTATCTGTTGCTCAGGCTGGAGTGCAGTGGCATGATTTTGGCTCACTGCAACTTCTGCCTCCCAGGTTCAGGCGATTTTCCTGACTCAGCCTCCTGAGTAGCTGGTATTACAGATGTGCACCACCATGCCCAGCTACTTTTGGTATTTTTAGTAGAGATGGGTTTTCACCATGTTGGCCAGGCTGGTCTTGAACCCTTGGCCTCATGTGATCTACTCACCTCAGCTTCCTATGGCGCTGGGATTACAGATGTGAGCCACCACACCCGGCCAGGGAGGCATATCTCTAAACTGGTAATTCTTGAGATGAGAGGTCCTGGATATCTGTCAGAATCATGTACAGCCCCCAGCCCACCCTGGGAAGGTCCCAGATGTCTCCTTCCATAAGAATCACTCTCTAGTGAGATGCTGGCACTGTATTCCAAAGGTTGGGAACCTCTGTTCAAGCTTCTTTAGATGTATTTTATTTTTAATTTAATTTGTTATTTTTTGAGATAAGGTCTCGCTCTGTCGCTAACTCTGGAGGGCAATGGTGGGATCATGGCTCACTGCAGCCTTGAACTCCTGGGCTCAAGCGATCCTCCTGCCTTGGCCTCTCAAAGTGCTGAGA